TAATTCTATTGTCGCTCATACCTATTGTAGGCGTCGTTTGAAGTGCGCCTACGTTAAAGCATGTTGTGAATATGCTTGGCACTCATAGGAAGTGGGAATTGACATTACAATTACGGACAACGATTAGGGACAAATAAAGTAGGGAGCCGCCAACAAGTTTTTAAGGAACTTGTAAACCGTTCACGGATCATAAAAGGCAACCACGAATAAGGGACAACGATAGGCAACAACGATTGACCCGTGAAGGTTACACCCCATTCATAATCCATGAGATTACTAACTCCATATGGTTCGGAACCACGAAAGGAGGATCGGGGATGATGTTACGAAGTGAATCATGGAGTCACATTCGCCCGTATTGGCCTCTACTCGATTCTTATATTGAAAAGCATTCCTGTGATCTCAAAGGCATACAAACAATAATTCAATTCGCTCCAAACTATTATTTAACTAAATTGGTTGAATATTAATGCACACATAATCCTAAAATATTTGTGATCACTTGAATTAATTAACAAGATTAAAAAGGATCCTAAACCGGTTATCCAAATTATCTTATTAGGAGTGATTTTCAATTACATATTCCCTTTAAACATGAAATATGGTGATCATAAAAAAATAGAAGAACAACATTAATATGAAAACCAAATTAATCACAATTCCAACTATATAAAATCGTTAGAAAAATAATAAAAATAAAAGGAGCATGATCCTTACTTTGATTCTGTTTGTTTGCAACTACAAAATAATAAACGAGTTAGTAACTTCAAGGAAATAATAAAACGATGATTAAATTAAATTAAATAAAGTAAAGTTGATTTTGGGGCCAAACCCTAATACAATTCTACCTTTCACGCCTTGGCTTAAGGATAGAACCACGAGTAAAGTATGGACTCCTTTGAGTACTTGAAGAATGAATTTTGAAATAAAAAGGGTAGGCTAGTGTTTAGGCTAAAGCATAGAAGAGGGGAGAATAAAATTAGAGAATTACTCGGTGCCCCGTACATCAGAAATGAGGGGGTATTTATAGGGAAAATGTGCTGAGGGAGCACACGGAACCCTAAAATGATAAAAACCCTAAAGTATCCTGTGACACGGTCAAACTGTACCGTGACACGGGAAGCCCCACCGTAAGACGGTACACTTTCCCGTGACACGGTACACTTTTGGCGTGACGCGGGAAATTTTCAGAAAACGGGATAGAAAACGCGTCAAGGGTTTACGTGGAAAAGACACGGAATGTCCCATGTCACGGAAGACCTCTCGTGTCACGGGAAATCCCACCGTCAGACGGGAAGGATTCCCGTGACACGGTAGGTACCTGCCGTGGCGCGGGAAATTCCTGCCTGTTTTTCCGTCTAAATACATTTTTAACCCTTATTTCCTTCGGCATTTTAAGTGCCGATGAATAATTTCGGGTCTTTTCTGACTTTTTATTATTCGGGCTAAAATAAGAAAATAATTAAATAATTATAAATAAAGGGTTTGGGCCAAAAATATATAATAAAACAATTAAATAAAAAAGGTTTGGGCTAGAACTAATTAATAAGTTTGGGCTGAAATTAAAACTATGCTTTTACCAAACATCAAGACTAATCCATGGATTGTTCAAAAATATGAATTTAATAAAATACGATTTTTTAAGCACTCTCGGGATTAAATACTAAACCCGACCAATAATGGCGGTGAAAGATTGTTCATCATCGGGTTTGGTTTTAGGGAGACATATTTAGGTGTTTACAGAAGCCCCCACTTTGACTGAGTTTGTAGAAACGTCAGTTTCGAAAACGATAGTCAATGTAGCCGATAGGGACGAAGAATGATTTAAGACGTTCTGCGATCCTAAATCACTCTGTATACGCCGATACCTGCAGAAAAATGTTAGTTCCACAGAGAAAAGAGTAAAAGGATAGGATACGTATCTGGCACCAGTGTATTGGTGACGAACGAATTTTGGCAGCTTCCTAAGCTTGAAGGAATCCACCGAGTGACATTTGTTGAAATGCTTTCCATGCTTGAGGAAAGCCGACTGAAGAGTTTGGTAGTTTTCTAAGCCTGAAGATAGCTACCGGATAATACTTTCCATGCCTGAGGAAAGTCAACGTATGAACTTGGTGTCATTCTATGCTTGAAGATATTCATTGATAATGCCTTCCATGCTTGAGGAAAGCCGACAAAGGAATTTGGTGGTTTTCTATACTTGAAGAAAAATCCACCGATAACGCTTTCCATGCCTGAGGAAAGCCGACTTGGCGATTTTCTATACTTGAAGAAAAATCCACCGATAACGCTCTCCAAACCTCAAGAAAGCCGACTTGGCGGTTTTCTATACTTGAAGAAAAATCCACCGATAACGCTCTCCAAACCTGAGGAAAGCTGACGATTGCTGAAATTTGTAAGTGTATGATGGTTCGATTATCCCCGAACGTGGGCCGCAGATGATTCACACCTTTAATTCGATTATCCGACCATATTAGGTGCTTAAAATGCCGAAAAATAGACTTTGATACTTGCTAGGGGTAAAATGGTAATTTTAGTCCCCTTTAAGTATCAATTACAAATTTCCGCATAATTCCAGCGAAAAATAACTATCCAATTTATGCAAAAAATCGTGCAACTTCAGTCAAAATAACAGAATATTTGCAAATAACTGTACAAAAATCGCCATGTCACAAAACAAATTCCCGTGACACGGGAAGGACCCCCCGTCACGCGGAGTTGCTTCCCGTGACACGGCAAGAGGGTCCCGTGTCACGGGAACTGAATGGCTGAAAAACGGTAAAAAAAGAATCTTTGACCGGTCAAGGCTTGTGCACCACACAAAAATCTGACCGTTACGTGGGAACGGGGTCCGTTGCACGGGATTTTTATGTTTTTAAATATCAACATTTTTTTTTCTCATTTTGGCCATTCTCTTCCTCGTCTGATTCTTACTCAAAAAGCTCAAAAATTTTCTTGGTTGGCCGTGCCTCGTCGACTGCTCACCAGCGCTCGGTTTTGCTTCCCGTCGGCCGGAGTTCACCACCGTGTCACGACGATTTTCCTCTTCTCTTTCTTTTTTATTTTTTTTATTTTTTTGCGTTTCGTTGCTGCCTACTGCTGTTGCTGTTGTTCGAGGTTTCTGTTTACTGTCGGAGCTGCCGTCGGACTCACCGGAGCTCCGTCGCCTGTGAAGCTTACCGTGACACGGGACAGCCTCGCCGTGTCACGGATTCAGTTGACCGTGTCGCGGTGGTCTGCTGGAGGCCGGAGTTTTTTTGATTTTTTTGAGTTTTTTTTGCTGCTCGATTTTCTACTGAATTTGCTCCAATTTTTCGCCATATTCCACATTTTCGAACCTCTACAAAGATCTATGTAAGTTCTTCTTAATTTTTATCTCAAATTTGCTTGTGATGTGTTGATTCATTGTTTTTGTGCAACTTCAAAACATATTTTGCGTATGTACTATATTGTCATGGAGAATATAGTATCACGCAGCTAGGAGAACTGTAGTATTAGTTTGTCATGGAGAAACTAAATACCATAATTTTGCCATTTTTTAGCCTAGAGGTAAAAATTTAGCGTATAATTCGATAAATAACTAAATAACTTAGGAAATAATGCCAAGTATTTAGATCTTTATTTTCATAAAAATGCAATTTGAATTAAATGTCTTAGGAAATGATGCTAAGCATTTAGATTTTTATGATAGCATGCCTAGGCGACGAGATTGCAATCTTTCTACCCTCGGCCGGCGTCGGGCTTTTCAGGAGGACACTCCCACCATTCATGAGGGTATGGATGACGATGCTTTAGAGTCCGATCCTCGGGCATCTGCGAGTAGAGGAGGTGGGTTCCACCTCCGTGGACTCCAAACAAGTTGGTTTTCTGCCGTGAAAACCATGTCTCTCATCGCTCACCCTCCGGCATAGTTGATAGCACGCTTCGCCACCACGGTTCTGGAGCCGGCGATTTGATCTCTCGAATTCACCAGATCATTACGAGGGATCCTGCTATGAGCGCCCTAGGGGAATCGGCTGGTTTAGTAGATTTCTATACGGTGGTTGTAGGGTTTCGCAGCCCCCGGGGTTGCGGTGCGACGGTCGTTCGCGCATTGTTGGAGTATTTCAAGGATACTACCAACACTTTTCATTTTGTTTAGGGGGAGATGACGGTGACCCCCCTAGACTTCAGTATGATCAGCGGGCTGCGCTTCACCGACCGGGCTGTAGCTCAGATGTCTGATCTGTCTTGGGATCGGCTGAGACAGCTGATTTGTTGGGTCCGATCGTTCAGCACATTAGGTCTCGACTAGAGTCTCAAGGTGGTCCTAGGAGCGGACGATCGGAGCTGGCTTCAGTTTTAGCTCGTGGCTTCGACATGGAGGATACGGCGGCTGAGCAGCGAGTGCGGGATCTTCATCCTGATCTTGATTTCTATGACCCTTTCTCCCGGTAGGAGTTCACGTATACTCCTTTGCTACCTCCCCGCTCTGGTCAGGATCCATGAGATAGGATCCTATAGCTGGGCCAGCCTTGGATACGCCGATCTCCTCTTATCGCTACGTCATGGCTGTCGGCAGCTGAATGACAAGTCTCCCATCACCGTCTATGGTCTGTGGAGAGTCGTAGAGGTGATGATCTTTTCCCTTTTTATTTCACTTTAACTTGTTCGACTCATGTGCTAAAGATTACTTTTCATCGCAGCTATGGTACTACGAGTACTTCCCAGGCTTGGCTCCTCGCCGGCGTCGTGGAGCGGTCCATGATTTCCCTGTCGGGGCCAGCTGGCGTGATCGAGGAGAGTCGCGGGTGGAGTCTGTCCCTGCACTGCGTGGGCTACTACGCCAAGGCACCTCTTCTGTCGGCGTAAGACTCAGTTTTGTTGCTGTTATTTTCCCTCTGACGTTTAGGTTGTTTTACGCCGACTTTTTATGGTTTTCAGGTTGCCATTGATTTCCAGTATCGTCCTTGGGCTGGGATGACTGAACTACCTGAGGCCTTGCGTCTTTCTGCGTGCCGCACCATTTTGGTTGGTACCGGACGCTTTGTCTGGTATTTAGGGGAGCGAGTCGTTCGTCAGCATAGCGGCGATCGTTTTGTGGTGCCCTCATCTCCACCAGAGTCGATGCTGGACTCACGCTTGATCAGAGAGTTGATCAACAGGGGAGAGCGCTATACTTTTCCATGGCAGGAGCTTGTACACATGGGGAGTGACTATGCGCGGGATTTGCTTCCCTCTCTGGCTCCTCCACCCCGTCTTCCTGAGGTATGATTTCTTTTGAGGATCTTCTTTATTAGTCTCTGTTTTAAATAGTCGAATAACTTGATTATTCGATCATATTTTCAGACGACTATTCGCCCTATGGGGAGGATCGAGATTCCTCCTCAGTCTGTCCGCTATCCAGGGCCGATTGGTATCACCGAGGACCTTATTGCTGATGCGCCAGAGGGTTACAGACAGGCGTAGGAGTCTCTGCCTGAGGTCTTTGAGCCGGTGAGTTTTCTTTGATGCATTATTCATCCTTTTAACACTGTTTATTACTGACTTTTCCTTGTTTTATCCTTAGCCTAACCGCCCGGAGATGATGGGACTCATGAAGCTGGCTGACGCCCTGAAGTATTCCATCATCAAGCTTCGGCGTGGTGCGAGTTGTCGGAGCTCTAGCGACGTTCTTGAGGTATCATTCATTTTTTTACTTCTACCATTTGTTTTATTTTGCATTGTTGACACCTTTTGATTTTGTATCTTTCAGGAGCGACGGAGGTCCCGCTCGCGCTCGAGGCCTAGAGGCTCGGACGAGGAGGAGCTTGGTCGTGGTAGACGATCTCCTGAGATTCATCGGCGTTCTCATTCTCAGCGAGAGCCTCAGACTACCAAGCCATTTCAGGAGGCTCAATGGCAGCAGCCTCAGTCTTCCCAGCGCTTTCCAGGCCAGAGTCGGGGGCAGCGTCAGTCGTTTTCACAGCCTCCACAACTTGAGCTTGGGTCTGTTTTGACTCCCTTGGATCCTGGTTCATTTTCAGCTCCATTGTCAGGGATTCCTCCACCGGTGTCGGGCTTGTTCTCAGTTCCGATGTATGGGACGATGCCTTCACCGACGATTCCAGTGTCTTTGGGCCTGTCTACACCGTTTTCCGGCTGGACGGGTTCTGCCTTGAGTTTGACTACTGCTGGGGTCACAGGGACTAGTAGAGACATGGTGGAGGGACTCTTCGGCTCACCGTTCCCATATGCGCAGGGTGGAGATGATACTGATTCTGGCTCTAGAGGCTTTTGACCGAGGGTTTTTATTTGTACATACTATGATGACACTTGACATGTTTATTTATTAAGACTCTTTTGTACATTATTCATGATTTATGTATTTATTATTGTGTGTTAGTGTGTGCTTGAAACTCCTTGTGTGTGATTGTGTATTTATTAATGACACGACAAAAAAACATAAGTGGAGTAATGGAGGGTACCGACCTTCCCCAAAAGAAAAGGAAATAAAAAGACAAGCAAAACTAAAATACCTTCCCCAAAAGAAAAAGAAAAAAGAAGACAAGCAAAAATAAATAAAATGATAAAGAAATAAAATAAATAAATGAAATTACCTTCCCCAAAAGAAAATGAAATAAAAAGACAAAAAATAAATAAAGTGATAAAGAAATAAAATCTTAAAGTGATAAATAAATAAATAAATAAAATAAAGATACTAATAATAATAATAAGAATATAGATAAAAAAGGTGAGAATTTTATTGGAAATAAAACTCTCAGAAAAACTGAAAAATAAACGGTGAAGATAAAATTCTATAAAAAATCCGGATAGATACGGGAAAAGATAAAAAAGAAAACGCATGAAGTGCCGTGACACGGCATTGTGCACCGTGTCACGGCAGAACTTGCCGTGTCACGACAAAAGTTCCTGTGACACGGTGGAACTTCCCGTGTCACGGGATGCGTATTAGTCAACGGTGTGTTTTACGCGCGTGAAAAGATAAATTCTGGGCATTTTCGAGCGCTTTTGCTATAAAATAAGACCAGTTTATTCATGATATGCATAATTACGAAACACAAAATAATTTAGAATTTCATATTTCAATAATCATGTCTCAGAATTTTGATAATACATTGCGCGACTGGTCTTATTCTTTGACCAATGCTGAAAAAAAAAGTTAGAATTATTTCATGTTAGGGGTTTGCTAGCCCTGCGACACATAGCTATTGAACATGATTTTCTTAGGGCAGCATTAGATTATTGGAGTCCAGAAATACACTGTTTCAAATTTGATTATGATGAAATCTGTCCCTTGCCGGAGGAATTCGGCGCAATCTTTGGATTTCCTGCTAGAAATCTTATTGCCATGCCTACCCTACGTGAATATTATTACCAAGATTTTGAACGCCATTTGAATCTAACAGATCCAGATTTAAATAGAATTGTTTGTGGTAATGAAGTAGACTTAGAAAAACTTGCTAATTTATATTTTAATCGCCCTATCTCTAAGTCTTATCATGTATATCGTAGAAGGGCACATATTTTTTGCATGTTTAGCAAGCTCTTATTTGCAAACGGTAGGGTAGGACATGCTTGTCTAGCGTCTGTGCTTTAACATGTCGAATCTGGAAGATCTCCTATGCCGACGTGCCTTGGAGAGACGTTTCGTGGCCTCGACGAGGCAAAAGCTGTCCGGAAAGCAATCAGGAAGGGCTCTCTGGTACTACTGCAGGTAAAAATACGCTCCGAGTAGCCCCTGTGACACAAAATAGGCACCGTGTCACGGTGGGTGTCTGCCGTGACACGGCAAAACCTGCCGTGTCACGGGAATCTGCTTAATTATATATATATATATTTTGTTGCCTTGACACGGGAACTTCTCCCGTTAGACGGGATAAAATCCCGTGTCACAGGAATATTTTACATGTTTTTTTTTTCTTTTTTTTTTTTTTTTTTTTTTTTTTTTTTTTTTTTTTTTTCCGGCCGTGACGCAATGCTGAACTGACGTGCATATTTGATCAACAAAGGGAGGATTTTTATTTTTAAAGTGGTCGGGCCCCCTTGAGGGGTTGCCTACGTATCCTTAAAAGGAATTAGGCCAAACGTAGCTCTATTGGTTCATGAACCCATGCGACTAGGCATAGAATTTCTTGAGTTGATCCAAGTTAGTTAAATTATGGAAGCCGTTACCGTCCATGTCTACCAATTGTGCCGCTCCGCCAGACAAGATGGCTTTAATAATGTACGGGACTGACCAGTTTGGTCTGAATTTTCCTCTTGGATCTAACACATTTTTGCGAAGTGCCTTAAGCACTAGGTCACCCTCTTTGATATTCCTGGTCTTGACTTTCTTATTAAAATGTCGCACCATACGCTGTTGGTAGGTTTGGACATGATGCAAAGCTGCCAAGCGTTTTTCATCAAGTAAGACCAGTTCGTCGTATCTTGCTCTAATCCAGTCGACTTCATCTAGTTGGCTTTCCAATGCGATTCGAAGAGAAGGGATTTCGAGTTCGATTGGTTGTACAGCTTCAACTCCATAGACCAATGAGAAAGGGGTAGCCCCCGTTGATGTAAGAACAGAGGTTCGATAACCCCAAAGGGCGAAATGTAGCTTACTTGGCCAATCTTTGTAATTTTCTGTCATCTTTTCGATGATAGTCTTCATATTTTTGTTGGCCAATTCGACTGCACCATTTGTTTGTGGTCTATAAGGTGATGATCTGTGATGCTTGATATGATATTTTTGTAATAATTCCGCGCATTCGGCTTGAAAATGTGTTCCATTATCACTGATCATCTCATGTGGTACCCCATAGCGGCATATGATATTTTTCTCAATGAATTGAGCTACATGTTTTGCCGTCAGCTTCGCATATGAGGCAGCTTCGACCCATTTGGTGAAATAGTCGATTGCTACGAGAATGAATTCATGCCCCCCTTGTCCTGGTGGTGTTATTTTTCCAATGATGTCAATGCCCCAAGCGGAGAAAGGCCATGGAGAAGTATATGTGTAGAGAAGCGAAGGTGGAACATGCTGTAAATTTGCGTAGATTTGACACTTCATACATTTCTTGACGTAGTCGTGACAATCTCTCTCCATAGTAGTCCTATAGTAACCTTGTCGTTGAATCTTTTGGACTAACATCTTTGCATTCATGTGCGTTCCACATATGCCAGCATGAAGGTTTTCCATGGTTTTATGTGCTTCTTTCTTGGCTATGCATAAGAGATTTCTTCCCATTGCAGTTCTCTTGTGGAGTTCTCCCCTGATGAGCACATACTGTGAGGCCAGGAGCCTCAAAGCACGGCGTGCCCTTTTATCAGTATTAGGAGGGTATTCTCTTCTTGTCACATAATTAAGGATGTCTGTATACCATGGTTCTTCATCTTCTTCCTGTGGTTCTTGTTCATCGTCCAGTGCGTGAACATAAGCCGACTCATATCTTCTTTCTATGGTTAGTGGCATTTGGATTGTATCAGTTGGAATTCGCACCATTGATGCTAATTTAGCTAGTGCGTCGGCGAATTGGTTTTCTTCTCTTTGCAAATACGTATATTCCACTTCTTCTAGTTGCTCCGTGAGAGTTTCTAGATGAGCTTGATACGTGGCGAGACTTTCGCTTCTCACTTTCCATCTCTTGGAGATTTGGTTAATGATTAGTGAAGAATCACCATAGATTCTAAGTTTCTTAATTCCCAAGGCGACAGCTGTTTCTAACCCCAAAATGCATGCTTCATATTCTGCGGCATTGTTGGTGACATCAAAGTCGAGCTTCATGGATATTGGGATGTGTTCTTCATTGGGTGATACGAGCAAGACTCCTACACCACATCCTTTCTGGTTTGAAGCTCCATCGAAATAGAGCGTCCAGCTATCATCTTCGGTCATGAGTAAATCTTCGTCAGGGAAATCGTACTCATCTTCTTCTTTTTCTGCTTCTTCTAGCGAAAAGTCTACTAAGAAGTTAGAAACCGCAGAACCTTTGATGGCTTTTTGTGGCACAAATCTCAAGTCAAACTGAGCAAGATTGACTATCCACCTTGATAATCTGCCATTGAGTGTTGCTTTTTCGAACATGTATTTGATAGGATCCATCTTAGACACGACATGCACTGTATGAGTGAGCATGTAATGTCTTAGCTTCTGTGCGGCCCATACGAGTGCGAGATACAACTTCTCAAGTGGTGTGTATCGCGTCTCATATCCTTGAAGTTTCTTGCTCAAGTAATAGATTGCATTCTCCTTGCTTTCGATTTCTTGTGCTAGCATTGCCCCCATCGTTTCTCTTGTGACCGTAAGGTAGAGTCGAAGAGGAAAGTTAGGTATTGCTGGCGCTAGCATGGGTGGGTTTGCCAAATACTCTTTGATTTTGTCAAAAGCCTTTTGGCAATCGTCATCCCATGTGACTGGGACATTTTTCTTGAGCTTCTTGAATATAGGTTCACATATCGCTGTGAGCTTTGATATGAACCTACTTATATACTGCAAACTTCCAATGAAACCTCGGATCTCCTTCTCATTTTTGGGTGGTGGCATGGCCATGATCGCCTTTACTTTTGTAGGATCTATTTCAATCCCTCGAGAACTGATCACGTATCCAAGTAATTTTCCTGACGTGACTCCGAATGCACATTTTGCTGGATTTAATCTCATGTTGTATTTACGGAGTCTTTCAAAGAACTTGCGAAGTGCAATAATATGGCCTGGGAG